ATATCAGAAAGGGGAGTGCCAAAATGAGTCTGTATAAACAAATGTTGCTAAAGAACTCTTATCTACCATTAGTTTCTTCCATATATGTGCTACTCACCTTCCCACAATTTATTGACCCTAGAAGTCCAAACCTCTGTTCTTTGTCTAGTCTCTTCTCCACAATTTATCACCCTTTGTTAAAATTGTATGTAAGCCCCAGAGTGCAACTGCCTCTTTGGATTTTCACTTCTTTTCTGCAAAGCCCTCATGCACCTAAAATTAAAAATATTAGCATCAATAAAATATATGTGTTTTTTCTTGCTAATTGTTCTTTCGTGAGTTTAATTATCTGCCTCCAGTTTAAAAAAAAAAAAAACTAAATGTATAGAGAAATCTTTTCTCCTTCCTTATGCCTTATGGCTGAACAACTCTATAACCATAGAGATCTCATGAGGCAATTTATTCTACCTCATGGATTCTCTGAAAGAATCCAGTGGCCCTCCTAAATGATTACTGCTATCCACAGAGTAAACTCTGATAATAACATTAGTGTTGCTTGGCAATAGCAATAGTAAACCAAAATTAGAGTTTAGGCATTGTTATTTATTTCTGGTCCATTTCTGTCAACCACATAAACAGGCTAAAGTTTAAAAGTGATATCAAAATCTAATTTAGGGCCATAACTTTGAAACATTAACATCAGAAGAGACTTTGGCAATTATAACAGTCTATAGTAGTTGGGAATATGACCTTAGAAGACAATTCATGTTTCATGTCTACTATACATTAGCTATGTAACTATAGAGTTCCCAGGCATCACTATCCTCATCTGTATAGCTTATGGTTGATAATAACTAAGATTATCCAAGTAATGCACTTAACGCAATAACTGCAAGTTTTAAATACTCAGTAAATATGAACACTGATGCTGACAGTAAAAAAAAAAAAAGGGAAAAGAAGAAGAAATTATCCAACTTGCTATTTTCCAAATAAGAAAATTAAGGCCCAGAGAGGAGAGATGATTTGTTAGAGACAACACATCTTATTATTGCTGAGACAGGGCAGAGTAAAAAAATCTCTTTTTCACTATAAGCTATAATTTATGGCTTTTACTATGTAACTACTTTGGTATTAGGGACCTAAGTATAAATACAAAAACAAACACAAAATATGGTCTTTAATGTCAAGAAATAAGATTTATCTATTGAACACTGGGAGGATATAAAATTTATGCCATGACTAACATTTATTTGATAAGTATATAGAAATTACATATATCTTCAAGAAGTTAATGAAATTAAGAGACAAATTTTTATGCTAAAATGTAAAATTTAAAAGAAAATAACATTATGTGTAGACATATAAGAAAAAAAATTAGACCAGAATAAAAGATACCAAAATAATGCAATAATTTTTTCTCTAAGTGGTTTTCTTCTTCTTCATCATGCTTTTAACATAATTTCCAAATTTTTTACCAATGCACATATCGTTTTTTATAATTATAAGAAAGATATGTTTTCTGTCACCAAGGAATATTGCATATAGTGTGAAAAGTCTCTATTCACAATAGCAACTACAGCATACATAAAAGATCCGGAAATACAATTTTAAAGAGGGTTATAAGACTTATATAAGTAAAATGAAATAATCCCTAAGACAATATTATATTGTACTAACTCCTATAAACATTTTTTTCAGAAAATAAAACTCTCCTAAACTTCATCTAGATGAATTTAAAAAACTATAATAATTAGAAAAAATAAGACTAAGGAAAATACAGATAATTTTTTAGTTGTCTGATTGATCAGGCTGAAATAGATGGACAATGCCTAGTGCTGGCACTTTTGGTGGATATGTACTGCCTTTCTGAAGGGAAGTTTGAAATATGCATGAAGATTTCAAATGGGTATGCTCTCTGACCTGTTGATTCTCAATGTTAGTAACTTAAGGGGATAATCAGACATGTATATAGAAAAGCTTAGAGAAGCATTGCTGTGTTCACATAGAATGAATGAACAACCTAAAAACAACTAAATGTGGCCACCATTAATTAAATTATTAAGTAAATAAATCATAGTCCATACATACAAAAGAATTTTAAGGAGCCACTAAAAACTGTATGGCTCTAATCTCATGGCATTTTGTTAAATGAAAGGGGAGATTATAAAATAGCACATGTAATATGCAACACTTATGTGAAATTACAAACACACAGAGAAATATATGGGAAAGTGTCATTTAGCACTGCTGACATTTTGAGTTTGGGGGTTTTGTTTGTTTCCTATTTATACTTTTTTATTGTTCATTTTTCCCAATAAGTTTGAATCATGTTTATAATCAGAAATAAACTATAAAGCTCATTTCATGTTGGAAAATGGTGAAACCCCGTCTCTACTAAAAATACAAAAATTTAGCTGGGCATGGTGGCACGTGCCTGTAATCCCAGCTACTCAGGAGGCTGAGGCAGGAGAATTGCCTGAACCCAGGAGGCGGAGGTTGCGGTGAGCCGAGATCGGGCCATTGCACTCCAGCCTGGGTAACAAGAGCGAAGCTCCATCCCCAAAAAAAAAAAAAAAAAGTAATACTTTAAGTGAAGAGACAGAAAAACAATAGAGTAAGTCAATGTAATCTAAGGAGAAAAGGTGAATCTAAAATATTTGTTTTAGTAAATTATTGCAATCTCCCTCTTTGTCAAAACTTTGGAGTCCAGGGAATTACTAAGCTGATTCGTTTACAAATGTTCTTTTTATTCTTTTGAAACTAGCAATTTTAACGAGCAGAAAAATGTCCAAAAAGGAAGAAAAATAGGCTATCCAACTATGAGTAAGATATGAAGGTAATCTCTGTAGGGTCCTAAGAGGAAAAGAAGAGAATATGAACCTAAAGAGAGATTTGGAGTTGGTTTGAAAAAATATTCAAGTTCAGAATCCCTGGAGATCTTCAAGCAGAGTTGGATCACTACTTGTTGAAGAAGTTTTACAGGAAATGGACTTATCAAAGGAGGCATTGGACTAGATGACCTTTTAGTTACATTCTAATCTAAAACTGACTCTGTTTCTCTGCAGCACTTAAAGAAAAGACAGTTCTCTAAGTACTGACCTGGAAACATGCCCATAGGAGATTCCAAGAAAATGGTGACTTGAGTGTACTTCCTTTACTCTCCAACTCAATTCAAATCATTTTATTTCATTTATGTCAAACCTTAGGGCTCTGGTGGCTGAGTAAATTTGTAAGAGATCCAGGGAGCACACAATTTATCACCCTTTGTTAAAATTATATATGAGCCCCAGAGTGTAACTGCTTCTTTGGCTTTCTTTGCCATGGACTAGAAAGACATACTAAGACCACTGTCAGAACAAGAAAATAAAGGTTTACTTGTCTTAAGAAAAAAAAAAAAAAAGAGAGAGAGATAGAGAGAGAAAGCCTTGGGAGAAGGATTTCATCTAAAATGTGGATCTCGGGAATGTTTGGCTTACAAAAATCTGTGGACCCAGGGGACAGATAAACAGAGGCCCCAATGTCTACCAGATCTCTCAGGCTCCTAGAAAAAAATTTTGACAGGTAAGTGAAGCATTCCCACCCTTCAGGCTGGGTAAGTACAGCAGACAGGAAACAGCGAGATATACTCCAGGTTAACAATATCTCAGAGCAGCATAGTGGGCCAGAACCAGAAAGATCAGTTAAAACAAATAAAACACAGAACAAACTTTTGACTGATGCTGGAAGGGATAAATGACAATTTGAAAAGGAATAAGTAAGAGCTTAGGGATATCTGTATATACCCCCTTTACCTTCTACACCCATTCCTCAAGAGTACTTTCCAGAAATAAAAGAAATAGCTTCCAACTAAACTATTTAGCAGATAAATGAAGAGAAGTGTTCAAGATCACTGTTGAGACATGATTTAATGGCCTAAAACATTTGGAGTGTGAAGAATTACATAAAAAGATAAAAATCACAAGACAAAAAAGATGAAAATGAATTGGAGAAAGACTATGAGAGATTTAACATATAAATCAAAGGAGCTCTAGAAGATGTGCTTTTTAAATTATTATGGATGCGTGATAGTTGTACATGTTTACAAAGTACATGTGATATTTTGATACAAGCATGCAATATGAAATGATCAAATCAGGATGATCAGGATATTCATCACCTCAAGGATTTATCATTTCTTTGTGTTAAGAAAATTTCAGTCCCACTCTTTTAGCTATATTGAAGTATACAATAAACTATGGTTAACAATAAGCTCTATTGTGCTACCAAACACCAGATCTTATTCTATTTGAGTGTGTTTTTTTACGCATTAGCCATTCCTTCTTTATCCCACTTCTCTCTACTACCTTTCCCAGCCTTTGGCAACCATCATTCTACTCTCCTATCTCCATGAGTTCAATTTCTCTTTTAGTTCCCATGTTTGAGTGAGAACACACAATATTTGTCTTTCTGTGGCTGGCTTTTTTCACTTAACATAATGTTCTCCAGACCTATCCATGTTGCTGCAGATGACAGGATTTCATTTCTTATGGCTGAATAATATCCCATTATGTGTAAGTACCACATTTTCTTCATCCATTCCTCTGTTAATGGACACACAAGTTAATTCCATATCTTGGCTATTATGAATAGTGCTGCAACAAACATGGGCGTGCATATATCTCTTTGATATCCTGGTTTTCTTTCTTTTGGATATATAGGCAGCAGTGGGATTGCAACATCGTATGATAGATATAAATAGAGACAACAACAATTCAAAAAGTGAGAGGGATGGAGTTAAATTGAAGAGTTTTATTTTGTTTTGTTTTTCTCATTTCAAGTTTATTAAAACTCTAGCAGTACAAATTATCCAGATGGCAGATTATCAAAAGATCAAATCAATAAAATCCACATTTAAAAAAAAAAAGGACAAACATAAAACAACCCAAAAACAATGAAAAGGAAAACAACATAAAAGACATTCACTAGCAAGTCTATCAAACTTAAAATTTGAAACAGAATGAAAATAAGTTTATATAACCTACTCATCCGCTTTTGTCTTCATCTGTTCCAGGGCTTGATTCATTATCAAATTTTTTATTTCTTCATGTATATAGCATTTTCTTGGCCCTTTGATTTTTGGTTTTCTTTTACCACTGAGACTCTGATCTTCTTATCCTCCTTCTTTCTCAATGTTGAGAACTTTAATTCATAGCCCTGTCTGCTTTGGTTTATTTTTGAGAGGGACTTTGATTACTGTCAGCCTTTTTTTCCCCCGCTATTATTTGAGCTGCTATTATTTATCATGACTTTTACAGTGCATTCTTTTTTATTATTATAGTTTAAGTTCTGGGGTACATGTGCAGAACGTGCAGGTTTGTTACATAGGTATACACGTACCATGGTGGTTTGCTACATCCATCACTCTGTCATCTACATTAGTTATTTCTCCTAATGCTATCCTTCCCCAACCCCCCAACCCCTGCTATCCGTCCCCTAGCCCCTTCAACCCCCGACAGGCCCCAGTGTGTAATGTTCCGAACCTCCCTGTGTGCATGTGTTCTTATTGTTCAATACCCACCTATAAGTGAGAACATTTGGTTTTTGGTTTTCTGTTCTTGTGTCAGTTTGCTGAGAATGATTATTTCCAGCTTTGTCCATGTCCCTGCAAAGGACATGAACTCATCTTTTTTATGGATACACAGTATTCCATGGTGCATATATGCCACATTTTCTTTATCCAGTCTATCATTGATAGGCATTTGGGTTGGTTCCAAGTCGTTGCTATTGTGAACAGTGCCACAGTAAACATACATGTGCATGTGTCTTTATAATGGAATGATTTATAATCCTTTGGGTATATACCCAGTAAAGGGATTGCTGGGTCAAATGGTATTCCTGGTTCCAGATCCTTAAGAAGTCGCCACACTGTCTTCCACAATGGTTGAACTAATATACACTCTTAGCAACAGTGTAAAAGTGTTCCTATTTCTCCACATCCTCTCCAGCATCTGTTTGCTGATTTTTTAATAATTGCCATTCTAACTGGCATGAGATGGTATCTCAATGTGATTTTGATTTGCATTTCCCTAATGACCAGTGACGATGAGCTTTTTTTCATAAGTTTGTTGGGTGCATAAATGTCTTCTTTTGAGTAATGTCTGTTCGTATCCTTTGCTCCCCACTTTTTGATGGGGTTATTGGGTTTTTTTCTTGTAAATTTCTTTAAAGATTTTTTTGTAGATTCTGAATATTAGCCCTTTGTCAGGTGGGGAGACTGCAAAAATATTTTCCCATTTTGTTGATTACCGGTTCACTCTAATGATGGTTTCTTTTGCTGTGCAGAAGCTCTTAAGTTTAATTAGATCCCATTTGTCTATTTTGGCTTTTGTTGCCATTGCTTTTGGTGTTTTAATCATGAAGTCCTTGTTCATACCTATGTCCTGAATGGTATTGCCTAGGTTTTTTTCTAGGGTTTTTATGGTGTTAGGTCTTATGTTTAAATCTTTAATCCATCTGGAGTTAATTTTTGTATAAGGTGTAAGGAAGGGGTCCAGTTTCAGCTTTCTGCATATGGCTAGCCAGTTTTCCCAATACCACTTATTAAATAGGGAATCCTTTTTCCATCGCTTGTTTTTGTCTGGTTTGTCAAAGATCAGATGATTGTGAATGTGTGGCATTATTTCTGAGGCCTCTGTTCTTTTCTATTGGGCTATACCTCTGTTTTGGCACCAGTACCATGCTGTTTTGATTACTGTAGACTTCTAGCATAGTTTGAAGTCAGGTAGTGTGATGCCTCCAGCTTTTTTTTTTTTTTTTTTCTTTTTTGGCTTAGAATTTTCTTGGCTATGCAGGCTCTTTTTTGGTTCCATATGAAGTTTAAGGTGTTTTTTTCCAATTTTGTGAAGAAAGTCAATGGTAGCTTGATGGGGATAGCATTGAATCTATAAATTACTTTGGGCAGTATGGCCATTTTCATGATATTAATTCTTCCTAACCATGAGCATGGAATGTTTTTCCATCTGCTTGTGTCCTCTCTTATTTCCTTGAATAGTGGTTTGTAGTTCTCCTTGAAGAGGTCCTTCACATCCCTTGTAAGTTGTATTCCTAGACATTTTATTCTCTTTGTCACTCATGATTTGACTCTCTGTTTGTCTATTACCGGTGTATAGGAATGCTTGTGATTTTTGCATGTTAATTTTGTATCCTGAGACTTTGGTGAAGTTGCTTATCAGTTTAAGCAGATTTTGTGCTGAGATGATGGGGTCTTCCAAATATACAAATGTGTCATATGCAAATAGAGACAATTTGACTTCCTCTTATCCTAATTGAATACCTCTTATTTCTTTCTCTTGCCTGATTGCCCTGGCCAGAACTTCCAGTACTATGTTGAATAGGAGTGGTAAGAGAGTGCATCCTTGTCTTGTGCCAGTTTTCAAAGGTAATGCTTCCAGTTTTTGCCCATTCAGTATGATATTGGCTGTGGATTTGTCATAAACAGCTCTTATGATTTTGAGATTTGTTCCACTGATAGGAGGGTTTTTAGCATAAAGGGCTGTTGAATTTTGTCAAAGGCCTTTTGTATTGTTTGCAATAGTTTCAGAAGGGATGAAACTTCTGGTAGAATTTGACTGTGAACCCATCTGGTTCTGCACTTTTTTTGGTTGGTAGGCTATTAATTGCTGCCTCAATTTCAGATCTTGTTATTGGTCTATTCAGGGATTTGACTTCTTCCTGGTTTAGTCTTGGGAGGGTGTAAATGTTCAGGAATTTATCCGTTTCTTCTACATTTACTGGTTTATGTGCATAGAAGTGTTTGTAGTATTCTCTGATGGTAGTTTGTATTTCCATGGGACTGGCGGTAATATTCCCTTTATCATTTTTTATTGCATCTATTTGATTCTTCTCTCTTTTTTCTTATTAGTCTGACTAGTGTCTATCTATTTTGTTGATCTTTACAAAAACCCAGGAATTCACTGATATTTTTTGAAGGGATTTTTGTGGCTCTATCTCCTTCAATTCTGCTCTGATCTTAGTTATTTCTTGTCTTCTGCTAGCTTTTGAATTTGTTTGAATTTGCTCCTCTAGTTCTTTTAATTGTGACATTAGGGTGTCGATTTTAGATCTTTCCACATTTCTCTTGTGGGCATTTAGTGCTGTAAATTTCCCTCTAGACCTTGCTTTAAATGTGTCCCAGAGATTCTGGTATGTTGTGTGTTTGTCCTCATTGGTTTTATTTCTGCTTTCATATCATTATTTACCCAGTAGTCATTCAGGAGCAGGGTGTTCAGTTTCCATATAGTTGTGTGGTTTCAAGTGAGTTTCTTAATCCTGAGTTCTAATTTGATTGCATTGTGGTGAGAGACTGTTTGTTATGAGTTCCATTCTTTTGCATTTGCAGTGTTTTACTTTCAATTGTGTGGTCAATTTTAGAATAAGGGCAATGTGGTGTTGAAAAGAACGTATATTCTGTGGATTTGGGGTAGAGAGTTCTGTGGATTTGGGGTAGAGAGTTCTGCAGATGTCTATTAGATCTGCTTGGTCCAGATCTGAGTTCAAGTCCTAGATATCCTTGTTAATTTTCTGTCTCATTGATCTGTCTAATATTGACAGTGGACTGTTAAAGTCTCCCACTATTATTGTGTGGGAGTCTAAGTCTCTTTGTAGGTCTTTAAGAGCTTGTTTTATGAAACTTGCTGCTCCTGTGTTGGGTGCATATAGACTTAAGATAGCTAGCTTTTCTTGTTGCATTAATCCCTTTACCGTTATGTAATGCCCTTCTTTGTCTCTTTTGATCTTTGTTGGTTTAAAGTCTGTTTTATCAGAGACTAGGATTGCAACCACTGCTTTTTTTTTTTTCCTTTCCATTTGCTTGATAAATTTTCCTCGATCCTTTTACTTTGAGCCTATGTGTGTCTTTGCACATGAGATGGGTCTCCTGAACACAGCACACTGATGGGTCTTGACTCTTTATTCAGTTTACCAGTCTGTGTCTTTTGATTGGGGAATTTAGCCCATTTACATTTAAGGTTAATATTGTTATGTGTAAATTGGATCCTGCCATTTTGATACTAGCTGGTTGTACATTCTTTTCTTTCTCTCAGAATTTTGTTTCTGTGCGAACTCTTACTTTCTTGGTTTCTGTATTTTTCTTTCTTTTTTTACTTTCTTCCCTCTCTGAGCTCCATGAATCTCTCCTTCTTCTCCTCCCATCTTCACTTCTTGATCTTCCTGGTGGTGTTCTTCTCTCTTGGCTTTTTTTATTTTATTTATTTATTTTTTTTGAGACAGAGTCTCGCTCTGTTGCCAGCCAGGCTGGAGTGCAGTGGCATGATCTCGGCTCACTGCAACCTCCACCTCTTGATTTCAAACAATTTTCCTGCCTCAGTCTTCCAAGTAGCTGGGACTACAGGCACATGCCACCATGCCCAATTAATTTTTTTGTATTTTTAGTAGAGACAGGGTTTCACCACGTTGGCCAGGATGATCTTGATCTCCTGACCTCATGATCCACTTACCTCAGTCTCCCAAAGTGCTGGGATTACAGGCATGAGCCACTGCACCCAGCTCTTGCTTGGCTTTTGATGGTCCTCTTCTCCTGTATTCCTGTTCTGTGTATCTGTGGTACTCCTCACTTCTGCTGCAATCTCTGTCATAGTTTCTTGATTGCACTCTTCCACTTCTGTCCCTACCTCTGCTTTGTTCTCCTGTTCTGCCATTATAACTGTGTTTATTTTTAGTTGTATTCACATTCTCTACTCCTGGATAGTGCACATCTATATTTTTCCTTACTTTTACTGTGACCATGCTTATTACTCCTTGATTCTAACTGTTTAGACTTCTCTTTACTTCTACCCTTTTCCTGATCTTTTCCTTAAGAATCTGTCTACTTTTCTTTTTAACATTTTCATGATCCCTTTCTTTACCCCTTGACCTCATCCTCTTTTCTTCATGTCTATTATGTTCTGAATTTCTTTCTTTCCTCTTTGATTTCTCTTTGCTCTTACTCTTACTTTTAGATTTGTCCCTTTTTTTTCACTTTGTTCTTCTTATATTCATCATCTTTTTCTGAATTTCTTCTGATATCTCTCTCTTTGATGTTAGATTTACAGTTTTTAACTTTCTTTTCCTTTTCATTTTTTTCTGTTTGGACTCTCAAATACATTCCTTGATCAGTTATTTTTCTCTCTTTTATTATAACTGGACTTCTCTAATTATCTTTTATTTCATTCAACTCACTCTTATCCCCTTTAATCCAAATTTCACCACTTGATACCCTCATTCTTTGAGCTCTCTGCATCTCTTGCCTCCAATGTGGAAGAGTCTCACTAAATCTGAAATAATCACTTGATGTGGATCTGGAAGGAGTTCAATAGCACATTGGTCCTATTCCTTTAATTTTCCTGCCAGATCTAGTAACTAAAAGTCATCTCTGGTACAAAGCAGACTGGGAGTTAGATGGATTATACTTTCTTTCTCTTTCTCTCTCTCTGGTTTTTCCTTTCTGTTTCATCAGCTTTAGAAGGACTTTCTCATTAGGAATCTATTTTCAGGTATAGGAGGGATCCCTTCTGGATGGACAGTAGACTGGGGTTGTGCTTCTAAATCCTCAGCTTCATTCTCACTAGATGCACTCTTCTTGCTTTTCTTTTGCTTCTTCTTTTCCTTCTTGTGTTTTCAGGAAGTTTTCCAATGTATCTTCTTTTCTTTGATTTCTCTTCAGAATCACATTTGGAATCAGAAGGGGACTGAGAATCACTTGAGCTATCTGAGTCACTAGACGAGGAGGAGGAAGATGATTATTTATGCCTTTTCTTTTATTCTTTCTTAACTTTAGGTTTGGAAATCAGTTCTCCATAACTGAGTATTCATATCTCTGCAAACAGTTTGCTAGCTGCATCTGTCTTCTGGTTTTCCATCTCTCTTACAACTTCTTGGCCAGAGATTGCATGTCCAAAAGCAACATGATGCCCATCTAAATCAGGAGTTGGTTTCATTGTTATGAAGAGCTGTGAACCATTTGCATCCTTCATTCTGTTGGCCATTGACAAGAGAAATTCTTTGTTGTGTTTAACAGCAAAACTCTCATCTTCCAAAAATCCTCCATAGATAGATCCCCCTTCTTGACCATTTCCTTCACTGAAGTCACTACCTTAAACCATAAAATCCTTGACAACTCTGTGAAAGAGAACTCTTGTAATGTAATGGCTTCTGAGCTGATTTCTCTGTCCCCTTTTCACCTGTACAAAGATAGCGAAAGTTCTTGCATGTTTTGGGGCACACATCAGAAAATAATTCAAAGACAACTCTTCCAGCAGGTTGATTATTAATGGCAATACCAAAAAAATCAAGGACATTGAATCTTTATTCCCATGCTTCCAACACTTAATCTTCAAATGAAGAAAACACCAAAAAATATCAAGAGAACTGATCCCTTTGCTCCCACACAAGTAGAGTTTCTTCTTCTCTGGGTCTGGTCCTTTAAAGGGCTTCAAATCTACCACCACCAAAAAAGGCACTAAAGCCTGCTAATTACCTCCTTTCCCTACAACTGAGTCCTAATTGTAGGGTATTTTTTTAGTTTTTTCTTTTTTGCTTGTTTTTTCTGTTCTTTGTAATCACAGTTGTCATCAGTTTAAAATAATTGATTATAAGATGTTATTTGCAAGCCTCACATTAACCACAAAACAAAAACATATAATACACACAAAATAAAAATCAAGAAATTAAAACATACATTCATAAAAAAATTACTTTTATACAAAGGAAGTAAAGAAAAAAGGATAAAAGAAAGAGAGGATCAACAAAACAACCAGAAAACAAATAAAACGGCAGTAGCAAGTTCTTAAATATCAATAATAACATTGAATAAAAATGGGATAAATTATAAAATTATCTAATCAAAAGACATGAAGAGGCTGAATAGGTAAAAAACAAAAAACAAACAATAAAAACCCAACTGTATGCAGACTACAGGAAATTTACTTCATGTATAAAGACATAGAAGGGCTAAAAATAAAGAAATGGATAAAGATAATTCAGGCAAATGGAAACTGAAAAAGAGCAGGAGTAGATATACTTATCAGACAACATAGATTTGAAGACAAAAACTTTAAAAACAGATAAGGTCCTTATATAATGATAAAGGGTCAATTCAGCAAGGGTGATATAACAATTTAAGAATATATGTGGAAAATACCTGAATTTGAAATACAAATATAAGGAGCCTCAGAAATGGAAGAAAGGTAAAAATTTTTTAAAAGGCAGAAAATCTATAAATCAATAAATTTCTAATCAAAATTTGAATAGTTTCTGTAGAAATAGAAAAATTGATTCTAAAATTTATACAGAAATACAAACACTTTGGAATAATTAATGAAAATTCTAAATAAGTGAGTACCACTCAAATGAGAACAACCAAAGACTATTCATTTGGAGCTTCCTATAGTAAGAGAGTCAGCCACCATGACTTGCATTTGGCAGAAACACAAAGGCAGGGAAGGGAGCTGGAATAGCTATCACCATTAGAATAGCTACAATTAAAAAGCCTGACAGTAGCATGCATTGGTGAGGATGTAGAACAAATGGTACTCTTGTAACACAGCTGGTAGGAATATAAATACTACAACCACTTCGATATGAGTTTGGCAGTCTAATAAAAAGTTAAACATAAATTTACTGTACTGTCCAACCATTCTACTTCTAAATAGTTAGCAGAAGCAAAAATATATTTACACAAAACATCGTACATAAATGTTAATAGTGGATTTATTTGTAATTGCCACTAATTGAAGATAATTAAAACGTCTCTCAACAGACACATAATGTGAAAGGAAAATTAATCTTGGGGCCCCAAAATCAATAAGCTAATGGGAAAAGTCAAGATGGGAAGAGGTTAGGGCAAACCTACCTCCAATTCTATGTAAAGTCATCCCTCTGCTCACTGAGATAAATGCACTTCTGATTGCCTCCTTTGGAAAGACTAATCAGAAACTCAAAGAATACAACCATTTGTTTCTCACCTACCTGTGGGCTGGAAGACCCATCCTTGCTTCCAGTTGTCCTGCTTCTCCAGACCAAACCAATGTTCATCTTACATATTTTGATTGACGTCTCATGTTTCCCTAAAATGTATAAAGCCAAGCTGTGCTCTGACCACTTTGGACACATGTTGTTAGGACCTCCTAAGGCTGAATCACAGGTGCACATCTTCAACCTTGGCAAAATTAAGTTTCTAAATTTTTTTTATCTATTGTTAAATTTTTAATTGTATTTTTTGTTTATTCTAAATTTTTTTTGTTTATCTATTGTGAACCCCGAATATCTGAGATATTCTGAGAATATTTTCAGATATTCTGAGAATATTCTCAGAATATCTCAGATATTCGGGGTTCACAATAAACCAAATGTGATATTTTCATACAATAGAACATTCTTCAACAATCAAAACAATCAACATACATAACAAATTCTGAATTAAAGGCTCTATATGGCACATACTCTAAAATTGACCACATAATTGGACATAAAACAATTATCAGCAAATGCAAAAGAGCTGAAATGATACCAAACACTCTCAGGTTTTAACACAATAAAAATAGAAGTCAAGACCAAAACAATCACTCAAAACCATGCAATTACATGGAAATGAAACATGTTCCTGAATGACTTTTGGGAAAATAATGAAATTAAGGCAGAAATCACAAAGTTCTTTGAAAATAATGAAATAAGTATACAACATACTAGAATATCTGGGACATAGCTAAGGTGGTAAGAGGGAAATTCATAGCACTAAATGCCCACATCAAAAAGTGAGAAAGATCTAACTTCACAGCTGAAAGAATTAGAGAAGCAAGAACAAATCAACCCCAAAGCTAGCAGAAGATAAGAAGTAACCAAGATCAGAGCTGAGCTGAAGAAAATCAAGACACAAAAAGCCATTCAAAAATCCAAGAATACAGGAGTTGGGTTTTTGTGAAGAAATTGATAAAATACATATACAAAATGAACCTCTAATTTACAATTACTAGGTAAAGATAGAACAGAAGTGGAACAAAAACATAAATTCTGCAAGAAAAGGTAGGTGACTTCATACATAATCTCATGATAAAACAGATTCTTTTATCTAAAACTAGAAAATAAAGTGTTCTAAAAACCATTTTTAGCCATATAAAAGTTCAAACATATATAGCAAAAGACATTGTCTTAGTCCATTCCAGCTGCTATAACAGAATACCAGAGATTGGGTGATTTGTAAACAACAGACAGTTCTGGAGGCTAGACCAAGATCAGGACACTGGCAGATTTGGTGTTTGGTGAACGCCCACATCCTTGTTCACAGAGGACAATGTTTTCACTGTGTAATCACATGGTGGAAGGGGTGAACAAGTTCTCTGGGATATCTTTTATAAGGGCACAAATCCCATTCCTAGTGGGACTTTATACCTTCTTATAGGGCTCATCTTTAAGCACTTTATCATCACCTTAGAGATTTGGTTTCAACCTACGAATCTTGAGGATGCAAACATTTAGTCCATTAAAAATACTATAATCAAATTCCAGTGCTGAAGAATGAAAACGTGTGCCTGTAATCTATTTTTAATCTCTTTTACATTGACAAGAAGAAAAATTCCCAAGAGAAAAGTATGTGAGTTTGTGAATAGGAATTCACAGAAGGGCAAATCCATGTAGCCAACAGAATGTAGAAAAAGGCTTAAAATATCTACCAGTCAGGAACATGTGAACAACTGATACAACATTGAGTTATGATTTTATAAACATTAGACTGGCAAAAGACTAATAACAATTATTGTTAGTGGAGACTTGGGAAGGAAAATTTTATTCTTGCACATTGCTGGTAAAATGTAAATTATTCCTGTTTTTTTGGAATACATTCTAGAAACATATATTAGAATTAAAAATATATATATTTGACTCAGAAATTATACTCTTGGGAATTTGTTTCATAAAAATAAGTGCCACTACATAAAGATATATTTATAAGGAAGAGGGGAAAGAAGATAAAATAAACACTGGACAAAAACGTCCACCAATTGGAGAAAGGCTGACAGAATTGTAACCATTCATACCATAAAATAGCATGCTGCCATGATAAGTAACCATTTAGAACTTCAACAAGATTTCACTGACAAAAATGAGATGCAGAAAAATCTGTGTATCAGTCAAGAATGTGTTTGACTATAAAGAAAAGAAAATTCAGTGATCATGGTTTAAGCAAATTGGGGTTTATTTTGGAAATCCAAAGGTCAGCAGTTGCTGGTATTGAAAATGCTATCAGGCATTTCAGCCTGTTATTTCCATCACTCTACCATTAACATTATAGCTTTTATCCTCACATGTGTTCCATCATGGTCCAAAGATGATATTGTCATTTCGGGTTTCATTTCCACTTTCCAAGAAGGATCAAGGGACAACAACAACAGCACCAGCCAAATTTATCCCATTTATTAGGAAAGAAAACTTTCCTAGAAATCCTTGCAATAGATTTCCTGTTGGGTATAGTTGACCAACACAGGGACATTTGTTTACCCTATCCCTCAGCACCAAAGACATTTGCTGTGGCTTCACACGTTAAGCTTTCCAGCCTCTGTTAGTAAAGGAAGGCCTGGGAAAAAATATTTTATAATTTGTAAGTATTGTAAAAATATATTTATATACTATAATCTTATTTTTATCAATCAATGACAAACTCTATGAATATGCATATGTGGCTTTGTCTATGATTATATGATCTTGAAGGATAATATCAACACATATACACTAAGCCTTTATGTGGATTTCCTCAAGACAGGTAATATGGATAGAGAAGGCATGAAGAGAGAAAGCAACCCCCAAAAAATTGTTAACTATGTTGTGATCTTATGCATGTATTTAAATAAAATAAGGTATATACAAATATTTTCAAATGTTTCTAGCATATCTTTAAAGACAGTAATTTATATCACAGTGTACATAATGTGGACCATTTTATTTGTTGTAAAATACATAAACTTATATATGCCTGGAAAAATAATAATATCTACCATTCATTGAGCTCTTATTTTGTGCCATATATATTTATGTAAATGACATACCTCTTTTAATCCTCTCAACAATGCTATAAGTAACTGCTGTTATCCCCACTCTACAGATATAAAAACGAAGGCTTAAAGGAGTTTAGTGGCTCACCCAAATAACATAACAGGTAAGTGAAAGAACATATATCACATTAACATCACTCACCACTGGAAGTGGAATAAGGATAGAGCTGGGAAAAGAGGAAAAGAGGTATACAGTTTTCCCTTTATTTACACAGAACCTTTTCACTATTTTACAATGAGTTCGTGTTTTATAAACAAGTTGAAATTTCAAAGA